TCAAACAAATCAAAAATAAAAAATGCATGTCTGCGCGGAGAAGGGTTCACTGAATGATTAATGTCAGGGCCGAGGGAAATGAGCAGAAAATGAGTATTTCCATGCCTTCAGCTACCTATAGCATCACACAAGGGTAATATCCATAAGAGATGAGATCTGACAGTGCAGCAGGTCCAGTGTGTCTATGTGCCTTTGTGGCCCCTGTACGGTGCCTTCCTGCCTTACGTGAGCTCTGGGGCTGGGGCTGGGGCTGGGGAGAGTGGCGGAGCGGGCCAGAAGGGGAGCGGTTTCCACGGCAACGGTTATTTCCACTCTGTCGTCACGACAACCACTCCAGCTAACCCCTGCGAGCGCGAGAGAAAACCGCTTCTCAGAACAGGGAACAGGGCGTCCAGGAGGCCGAGTCGTGGCCTGGCGGCCGGCGCTGCACTCCCGCCAATGTCGGCAGAGAGGCGAGACGCCGCGCGGGCCTGGTTTACTCAGGGCTGCTCCAAACGAAAAAGCTGCAGCAAAACACCGAAAAACCAAAACAAATAAAAGCACTCAACATCACGTCTTCAGTTTCTCTCCCCCCCCCCCCCCAGAGCAGTTTTGCCCTTTTCCTTTGTGCCCTGACTGCCCGGGGATTTAGGCACAACCCCCGGCGGTATTTCGCAATACTCCACGCTCATAAAATTAGTGGGGGCCCATTTTTTTCTTTCTGAGGGGGAGTGAAGGAAAGTCCTCTGGTGTCGTTGTGGTTCTTCCCGAGAGATGTGACAAAAGTGCGCACGCGCTGTTGTCCTTGTTCTGCCCAGGCTGACCGCTGACCCAGCCTCGCCAGGCGGCTGGCCTCTCCTGCCAGCAGGGGCGAGACTTCGGCGTGCACAGCTTGTACAAGCTTCTCCTGGCAGGGGGGTCGGAGACGACACTCGGCCACGTTTCTTTTCACAACAACAACAACAACAACGAACTTTAATTCTCTTTTTAGATTGAGATTTTTTTTCATTTGATTTTCCCGTGAGATATTTATGTGCCACCAGGTTTACTTGTGGCCAAGCCATTGTGTCAAGACCTCGGGGAGATTTCAGGTAAAACACCAAATCTAAATATCTCAACGGCTGAACCCAAGTCGAAGCGCCGCACCAGTTTTAAAACATACCGTAGTAAACACAGTCATTTTAGAAAAATAAAACCAGACAACGTACACACCGAGTTTTCTCTGTTGGAAAACTGGGGTGTTGGCCATATAACTCCAAGAGAAAAACTATGCTGCTCTGAAAACGAGCAGTGGGATGTTAGCAGAGATAATCTACAGTATATATTGTCAGCTTTGTTTATTCGTGAAGTGGCCGATGGGATAAGAAAAACTGAGTCACAGAGCTTGTGGAACTTGTCGGCTTGTAATAAATTTCCAGACACACTGTGACTATGTTTTATAAGCTTCACATGAAATTAAAAGAATTTAAAAAGAGAATATTGAAGTGCAGCCCTGACATGCTCTCTAGGTTTATGGCTGTAAGTCAGTGCAATGGAGTACTCTTACCTTATTTGCTCAAGAGCTCCCGGAGCTGTGTATGAGCAGGGTGAGCTCTGGGAGCAGTCATGCACAAACTCTATGAGCAATACTGACCTCTAGTGAGAGGTAAGAGAATGAAGCCTTTCTTCTGTTCCAGTTGAAAAGGGCCAATACAGAAAGCTTACGATCTCTGATATCAGCACTGGCAGCTGTTCTGGGTGGTGACAAGGGAAAGCTGTCATAATGTTGTCAAGTTGAGCTTGGGGTGCAGTCGGTACAGGAAACACCTCTGTTTTTATCTCTTCTTTCTTTCATCCAGGTGGATGCTGCACATTGGTGGTGGTGGAGGGGAGCCCCATTACCTGTAAAGCGCTTTGAGTGGAGTGTCCAGAAAAGCGCTATAGAAGTGTAAGCAATTATTATTATAATTATTTAACGGTTAGAGCGCAGCTGCTTTAAATGTGGCTAAGTGGCTGTCAGAGGGCCGGGCGGGGCGTGTCTCGGAGTGATTCAACAGGAGCCCCAGAGGGCGGCAGATTCCACTCGACAGCGGGAGGCTGTCTCAGGGCAGGGAGGGGGTCTAATTAAAATCCCAGCAGGGCGGCCCGTGTCAGGTGCGCGAGGGGGAATCGCCGCGGCCGTGAGTGTCAACGGGCGGACCGCTCCAGTCGCGGCCTCCTCTGGCACACTGGCGGATTAACCCTGCAGCGGGGCGGGATTCTGCACCAATACGGTGATTGACGTCAGGGGAGCGACGTCGGCCCAGGTCACGGAGGTACACCTGGACCCCCTCTACTCCTCGTGAATTCGAATATACAGGCCCAGTGCTCTGTCCAGTGTACGCACGGCGTGACCGCACTACAGCCTGTGCTATAATAAAACTACTGCCCAAGGGGCAGCCACAGCATCCTCGTCTAGAAAACAGGCGCCCCTCATAAAGGTTGAGCAGGGCCATAGCTACAGGGCAGGGACTCGGATGTGTACCCATACAGCAGGCCAGCCCCCCGGCCCATCATCCATTAACAATCCTCACTGCAGTCGTCAAGCACAGTCCTCTCACTCCACAAATATGCGGCAGGGGCGTAGCAGAACGGAGAAATTTGCCGTCTTCTTTTTCCCCCTGTTTCTGTTGCTTAACTAATGGGAACCTGCTTGCGATGTTGGCCCAGATCACTTCAGATCCTCAACCCTTGCCGTTTTATTGCAAAGTATTTCCCCATCTTCCCATCTTTCCGGCCAGCTCCTGTGTCCACGCAGAAGAAGAGCTGCTGCCAAGTCCTGGGTTTTGTCTGCTGTCGGAAGACTATGGGTTGAGGTTTTGGTCCTGGCCTTTGTTCCCCTGCCTCTGTTGGACTCTACTGCCCCCTCCTGATCAACCACTCCCTGTGCTCTACAGAATTTGAAGGCACGTCTATGGACCCACACCGTGCCGTTGGCTCTCTGCAGCTCACCTCTATCGTGGGCTTTTTTACAACTCGCTGTCTCAGGAAGGCTGGAAGTATGACTAAGGAACACAGTCATCCTAGTTTCTCACTTTTCTCCCCCCTTCCCTCTGGTCAGCGTTATAGGAGCATAAAGGCACGAATGTCGAGATTCAGAGACCATTTTTTCCCTTTAGCTTTCGATTACTGAACTCCACCCCTATCTCACAGTGATGTTTTTTTCTCACACTGCTTGTCTAACTTTTGTTAAGCTGTATGTTATGTAACTTGTTGTCGTTGCTGCTGCCGTTCTGTGTGTATGTTTTTGGTGACTCCTTTAATGTCTTCGTATTGGAGCACACATTGCACTTGCACACATGACAGATAAACTGAAGTGAACTGGCTCTGTCCTGTCGATAACAGGCTGCCCCGAGCCCCGGGACTCTCACGTCAGATTCCCAATGGGCTGCAGGTTGAGGTAAGGGGGCCCCTTCCTGCTTTCCAGAGCCCCGATCTTTCTGTTGGACTTGAAATCAGCTACGACTGGTTTCACTGGTGTGTTTTACAGGGACCTGAACCTCACTGATGTCTGCGGACTTAGAGCTGTGGTGTCAATAACAGATTGAATTAAGTAGCTTTGCACTGAAGTGAATCACTAGCTAAATGACCCAGTGTCCCGTCAGGACCATGAGAGATGCACTGAGAAGCATTTTTATGGTTCATCTGATCATGATACTCAGTGAAGGTTGTTGTAGGCTTGTTATTTCAGTGTTCTGATTTGCATTGTATTATTATGGGGGAATCATGATAGTAATAGGCCATTTCAAATTGTTCATTTCCAATCTAGAAAGTTGTTTCTGGAATTGTGCCATCTGCCATTCTCAGAAAAGAATGTGAAGTTGCTAAAATTAGCGTATTATTTTATTTGTGATGTCTGCTAGATATCTTGCACGATATCCCTGTCTGAAATAATGTTGTGCATGGGTTCTCTAAGCATCCTGACAGCCACAGTCCCGCCAAGAAGATAAATGTCCTCAAAAGAAAGTCAGGGTATCAACGTTAAAATGTTTAAATTAAAAATATTGCTTCACTTTTTGCTTTTGAAAGCACAATCAGACGTTGTGTGCCGGTCATTTTGTTTTGCGATTTTCCCTTTCTTGGTCTGTGTTAGCACTGAAGACAAAGGCAAGCGATTTTAGAAAGAGTCCGTCAAGCGAGGCCACGCGTGTCTGTGCCCAGTGACTCACTGTGTCTGTGTGCGCGCTGCTGGAGCTCGGCTGTGTGCGTGTGTGTTGTTGGTGTGTCGCTCTCCTGGGCTGCCCCGGAAAGGAGAACAGGCCGCACGGAGTTAAGCAGACAAGCCAGAGCTCTCCCCGGCACAGCCTTGCATGGCATCTGTCCCTAAGTTTATTTTTGCATTCTTTCCTGGGGATTAGAGTAATTCCTCTCAGCTGTGGAACCTACTGTATCTGCGACCCGCGGGATAAAAATAGCCCAGCGAATGCACGTACAGGAGGCAGAGCGAGAGAGTGGCGCAAAGCGACGGGGTGGGGGGACAGAGGGGCTGTGCCAGCGCTGGCTGGCGGGCAACCTCCGAGGGGCAGCTGACGTCAAGACGGACTCAGACATGTGTGTTTGATTTCCTCCGAGCCGCAATCACGGGCTCGTGACGCAGGCAGAAGGAGCGCAGGACATTCCTCTGTAATTATCCCCATGGCTGAAGACCTGGAGGCCTGGGAGAGCAGGGCGGGCTCCTTCTCTGGAGAGCGGAGCACAAGCCGGAAAACGTTCGGCGCGAGATAAACGGTGCTCCCCATTCCCACTTTGGACTGCTGCACTGCTAGTGTGAAGTGGAAATGTGCCGTCTCAGAGACAGCCCTCCCTGTAGTCATGAGTCCTCGATCCATTAACTAAGTGTGACCACCAGGCCACATATAACACGCTTTCATTTTAACACATTGCTCAGGTTTAATGTGGGTTAATTGTGACTGGATAGAACAGGACATAGCTAGCTGTCTGTTCAAACACCTGAGGTTCTTTGCTGTCGAGTGGCTGCCAGCAGTGAAAGAAGACGTCAGAGAAATGTTTCAAGTGCTCTAAGCTGGTTTAATTAGCTTTGCTTGCAGCATCAATAACACATCAGTTGAGTCCAGCTGGAATTTAGAAATCCATGACCCTCCTGAAGGAGCCAATAGTAGCGCAGTTGGCGCCCCAGTCGCTGAACCTCCTGTACTCTCCGGGCCTCATGAAGTACTGCCTGCCTCTGTAGTTGGGCTGCTCGTAGAAGGTCCAGTAGCCGTCCATCACGTTGCAGGAGTGGATGTCACGGTAATGGAAGCGGTCGTAGACATTGGGACAGTCGTCCATGAACTCCATCATCTGGCCTCCGAAGCCTTCCCTCTCGTAGATCCTCATCCTGTAGGAAGAGCTCTGGTACTGCAATAAATAGGAGAAAAATCCTGTTATTGACAAGGTTCATAAAGCATTCTTTTGACCATAAAAGTCAGGACTGGTCAGTGGCTCTTAGCGTGCACAAGCTAGTTCAAATGCACATTGCAGGCCTTTGAATCTAAGGTCCTGAATCTACAAATTCAATGCCCTGGTTTTGGAGATCCCTAGTGCATCTGTGGGATCCCCCTTCTCTGGCTTGTGCCAGTCACCCCTTCAGACAACACCTGGCCAGAGACAGCGAGCCTCAAGTCAGGATGGCTGGAGGCAGGAAGTTAGAAGTCCAGAATTAACATGAAGCGACACCCTACAGCAAGTCCAACTTCTAGTTAATGTAATAGTTAACTGTAGTTTGCATTGAGCCATTGACATTAACACTGTATAGTGATGTGTGGAAAATCAAAAGTAGCTGTAATTATTTTGGATCCGTGTTTTGCATTTTTTCTAATTCTTCTAACGATTTGTTTCCATAGTTAATTCATGCAATATGACTTTGCAACTGTGGTTGCTCCTTAATGTCTGTGAAAGCAAAAACAGACCTTATGTGACAGTGTGGGGAAACAGAGCAGCAGCCTTTACGATGACAAAAGCCAGGAAAATAAGCTGGCACACCAGGGCGATGATGATGGCCAAAAACTAATGACCTCTAACAGTAGGCAAGCCATTCCTATTTTTAGGAACACAATTAAGCTGCAGAATTTTATAGTCAAGCCTTTAGAGCACTGAAACAGTCACAAGAGATGATAGCACTTACATCTGGAAACATGCGGCAGGACCTGATGGAGTCGTTGTAGCCCATCCAGCGCTGGTAGTCGGGATATTCCCCCCGGGTCAGGACGTACTGGTAGCCCATGTAGTTGGGGCGCTCGTACAGAACCCAGCAGCCGCTCTCCACTCGGATGGAGTTGCAACGGCTGAAGTAGGAGTGCATGTCAGCGCAGTCGCTGCTGCACTCATAGGAGCGCCCCCCGAAGTTCCTGTCCTCATAGAAGATGATCTGAGATCGAAGAAGAGATTTATGATTCAACAGAGCTGCCTTTCCTGTAATGAGGTGTTGTAGTTGCTGAAAACTGGATGAACAACATACAAACGTCCCATGTTTATGAAGTACATTTTATTTCTGTCCAAAAACTGTTCCACACAGTTATTCTGGCACAGACAGAATGGGAATGTTGTTGATCCCTATTGTGATTTCACAGGACTTATGAGCAACACAATCTAGCCGTGCAAATTCAAACATTCAACAGGAATATCAGACTGGAAAAATCCCAGACTGGTGACCAAAGACTGACAAATAATGCTGTTTCTAATACTGAGTAGGATACATAAACAAGAGACAATCAGATGAGATTTGAAGCAGGTGGAAAAATGGTTGACTAAAGGCCAGAAAACGGAAAGCTACAGCAGAGCCACAGCTCACATGTCTCACATAAGGCCAATGATGTCAAGAGTCTAATTTCTTGTTTGAACCATTTAAAATTGTGAACAGCATAATGCAGTTCAGGATTTGCACCAGAGTAGAACCTCAGTACCTGTGCACGTTGCCCCTGTCACTCCCCCTTGTGCAATGCACAGAGGCAAGGTGCTTTGCCCACAGACTCCCATACTTCCCCCCCGAGACAGCTCTCCGTCCCCCTGCCCTGCCAAGCCCAGGTCCCGCACTCCGATAGGCCCTCACCGCCGTGCGCTTACCTTCCCCATGTTGAGTCCGGTGCCAAAGAGGTTTGGGTCAACACACTGCAGTCAGGACGCCTGCCACGAAAGTGCTTATATAGGTCCTTTATCATAAAGAGCGTTGTTGTTGTAGTGACCTCTGCCCACAGGGGCCCTCCAGCCCCGTCAGCAGAACTCCCATTGCCGCGTGCTTGGGCCTAAATGCCCAAACCCCCGAGTCATCAGCCCGGCTTTGAGACCTTTGTTGGGCGGGATAGTGCTCTCTATTCCTCACAGGCTCACGGGGGCATCTCTGCCCCCTCCTCCCCCCCGCGGCTGAATTGATGTTTGGAATCATCAAACCCGCTTCACAAAGCCGCACACAAAGCGGCTGTCAGGCTTGCCCGCCCTTGCGCCCCGATTGTTCAGACAGCCGGGTCAAAAGGCCACCGGGATCCTCGGCTCATGTGTGTCGGTTTTCACCGGGCCGTGTGCCGAATAAATGAATGGACCCGCTCGGACAAAGCGCAGGTGCCCTGTGAGGATCGAACAAGAAAATACCACGTTTCTTCTTCCAGATGAAAACACATTTCTCCACCAACCAGGAGGCTGTGGAGTTAATAAACAGAAAAATGAAACTCTCAGGGGGTTCTCCCCCACACTGCTCTGACAGCAGAAGACCATTATTTGTACCAGTCAGAGAGACCCTCTTGGATTCCTCCCCCGATCGACTTCAGCCAGTTCAGAACGTCTTCACATAAATATTTGGACAGCAAGCACATTTTAAATAAATCACGGAGACTTTATTACATCTTCAGCAGGACCTTCCCTTATTTATCAGATGAAAGCTTACGCAAGTCTTCAGTAACACATTTATGTTTTTGCTAACGCTGCTGGATAAAAATCAAGCTTATTACTTTGTACAAATACCCTCACACGTGTCCAGAATAGGAATCTGTGGTGAAATGTTTTGAACGTGCTGAGAAGAAGTAGAGGGAGAAAAGGGGAGATTAACATGCTTTGAAGTGCTCTGAAGATTCTTATATGAGGTTTTTAGGGAGATCATTTTGGACTAATCTTTTGATTGGTTTCTGTTTTTCCTTTACCTGTGTCATGATCCTTCCAGCCAAGTCCCCTGGGTTAGGTGGCACAGACGAATTAAATAAATCCATGACCTCCACATCCTTTCCCTTTCACTGAACCTCTGTGGTCCTTAAGATCTCAGCACTGTGTGAGCATCGCTGTCCACCAGCATTGCACCCTAATCAGGAAAAGCTAGACACACGTGGGAAGCATTAAAAAGACGAAGGGGATGCTAAAACATAGAGTTAAAAGTGTAGAATATAAATCAAGGTATGTTATGGTAAAATTGTATAACACACCCATAAGACCCCATTAAGAATATTGTGTACAACCATATTACAGAAAATATATTGGTGCTCTGGAATCAGTCCAGAGAGTAGCTGGATACATTCTGGGGCTGGAGAGAGTAATGTCCTCCTCTGACATGAACCTTTTCAGTCTTGAACAAAGAAGACTATGAGGGGACCTTTCAGAGTCCTCCCAGGCTTTCACCATGCCAGCCTTCCACTTCTGAAGCACTCCTTCAAAATCAACAGTGAAACTCAGAGGCCACAGGTGGAAACTACTGCCAGCGATGGAACCCAGACTATGTCTAAGCACAGACTTAGCTGACAGGTGTCAGGATGGGATGGGCTGGGCTGGACTCGCAGTATCCTCGGCTCCCTGCTGGCAAGGTGTAGCCAGTGCAGTCTTGTCAGCGAGAACTGCGTCTGACCTCACTCTGATGTTGAACCTGTGGGGAATGTGGTGCGTTTAGGGATGGAATGAAAGTGCGTGTTTCCCGGGAAATTAGATGACGTAAAGTAATTAAGATTCTTGATTAAGAACTGGCTGTTCCAAATTGCGTGGGACATGAAAAATGATTGCAGATTTAAACAGTAGAAAAGGAAGCAATACACAGCCAGCTTGTTATGCAATGCCCTTTCCCATGAACCCTCTGGCCAGGGCCATAATGCAGCTCTCCAAATACAGCACAGGAGGTGCTGGTTTACCAGTAGAAGTGTCTTGGAGTTTAAGGGGAGCGACAGTGCTTCTATTAAACAGTATCTCTTTGCCTTTCTCCTCTCTGTCTCTGCACCACAGACCAAGATGTCTGTCTTGCTGCCTATCACAAACATGTACAGTATCAAATCGAAAAAGAACTCGCTCAAGAGAGAGGATGGCAAGAATCAACAGAAAATTCATTTCATTTGCGTAAAACCAATTCGGCGTCATCTTCTAGACTCCATGGAGAGCAGTAAGAATCACAAAGTTAGGGTTGGAGGACTTAAATCAAGGAATGTTATGCTAACATTGCACAATGCAGCAGTAATACCTTATTTGGAGTCATTCTGGCTGCCGCGCTACGAAATTAGTTCTGCATGTTCTTGATTCAGGCCAGAGAAGAGTGACCAGAACTGAGCCTTTTTTAGTCTTGAACAGAGAGCGCTGAGAGGGGACCTGATTCATCTTGTCAAAACATCCCTGAAGACACCGAGAAAGTCAACCCAGCAGACTTCTGAAACCCAGAGGACGCACGTGGAAACTATATGGAAGCACAAAGAACAGTGAACAGGGGGCTCTTCATTACACAGAGGGTTTTGGGAGTATGGAACAGGCTACCTAGCCACATTGTTAAAGCTGATAACCTGCCATCTTTCAAGAAAGCCCTGTTTTGGATTTCAGATCAAAATGCAAAAGGCTTTCATTCTAAAAGAGCTGTCACCACATTATCGCTTGTGTTAGGAAATCTGCCGTAGAAGAAATGTTGGTTATCTCAGTTTCAGTGGTCTTGTTGAGGGGATGTTCTTGTTTTCTGTTCTAAAAAAGGATCTGTTACTCCCACAGGGGCTATGGTAGCCTCCTGTGATATATACTCATGTCAGTATGCTTACACTGCCAAACCCTGGAAAGTACGCTTTGTAATTTCAAAACAGACAACCCAGCTCATGTGTGGTTTCAGCAGAGTACTTCTGCTTAATATAGTTTTATACTGTATTAGCCTATGAGTGAATACTGACTTTGAGATGAGTTACCCAGTCGTTACATTGAATTGATCTTGTGAGCACTTTCAGCTCCTTGTTCCTGTTTCTTGTTTTTTTTTTTCCAACAAGACATCTTACATTTTTTGTTCTTAAAAGAATATGTTAAGGCTGGCCAACCAGAGATTTACGGTATCTTAAAAATATTAAGATAGCTAAGTCAAAACTGTTATATTTAACTTTACAGTCAAGCAATTTGTATTTGTGATCAGGAGATGAATATGAATGACAAGTACAATATAAAGTATCATACATTTAAGTTTATTCCATGGGTACATTTGATCATTTTAGAACGAAAACATGTGTAGAGTTCAACTCTAGTGATTTCTTCTGACTGTAAGGACTGGGGCACTTTCACTTCTAGGACATTTTACAGTATGCAGATATTTAAGTAACAGGTGAAGGTTTCTTCCATGCTGAAAGGAAAAGAGAAGAGAAACAAGGAGTCACAATGTGTTTCAACATGGAATAAACCTTTACCTCTTCCTTTGCAGCCTATACATGTTGATGTAGCTACAGTACCTACTCATACATGTATTTAGCGGCATATCCCTTTGAGGCAATAACTGCTCAGTGACCCACTGAGCTTTCCATCCTCAGTGTGCATTCATTTCAAGTGCTCTGTGAAGGGTTTGCTGCACCTATTGGAGCTCTTGCCTATGCTTGGGCAACAACTCCAGTTCAATTGAATTTGAGTTCTTCATTTTTTAGGCCTGCTTGACTTAAATCTGGAGATTGAGTTGACCCTTTTCCGCTTTTGAAATGTATACATTTTTAAAAATGTACATAGTGTTCTTTTTTGATTTGCTTGTTTTACTGACTACTGAATGTTAGTGTTTTCTGCCCTGTCCTGTTTGCCTCTCTCATAGACACTATGTAATAGACAATAGACACTTTATTCAGCTACCTTAATGCACTGCCAAATCAACGTGTATCCTCCTGAGCTTCCTAGCAAAAATAATCAGTATATTTATGCAAATCTACAACAATCATAGCACTAAGGAATTATTAATGGTTTATGTAATTGAAAATGGACAGCAGATAGGATGATGTGAATCTGATTAATCTCAATCTGAATCTGGTTTGTTTGGAGAGAACAAATGAGATGGAACAGCGAAAGCCTTCGCTCCCTGCTGTGGCCTGACAATCACTGAGTTAGAAGCCAGTGTGAGAAAGCATGTCTGCATGACCCGCATGTCTTACTTACTCCTGCAGCTCAGAACATCCCAGGGCAGTGCCAGAACAGTCCTGTCTCCTGGTATGTCACAGATTCATCTTCATCAGTGCCAACCTTGGAGGAGCAGGGCTGTCAAGCCCAGTGTTCTGGCTAGGTTCCACTGTACTGGGCTCATACAATCTGGCCTCCCCGAAGTTCACCCTGAATCCATCTGTCCAGGCAGTTCCTCATTCCTTCCCTTGATGTGCTGGGCAGTGTGGCTGCTGGGCGCAGAGCCGCCAGGTGAGGGAAGCACTTCAGTGGAGGAGGAGCCGGGTCCTTGGGGATGGGAAGCATCATCAGTGCAATGTGTCTGTTTATTAATGTTTACTAAATTGGAAGTTGAAAATGCAGTTCATGCCAGACAACCATGTGGAGTCAGTCCAGAAGGTGGAGGTGCCTGTTTGGCCATTTTTCCTGACATTGATAGATTATTGATGTGGTGGGACATAGTCTGCATTACAGCCATGAACAGATTACTGTTAATCTGTAATCTTATTATCGTTACTTTATGTAGAAAGCCACATTATTGTTAATTTATGTAGAAAGTTGACACTTTTACCCAAAGAAACTCTTACACTTGTGGCCATCGTACTGGAGCAATCCAAGTGAACTACCTTGCTGATGGTTACAACAGCATATCACCAGCCAAGATTTGAGCCCACAACCTTCCACTTACAAGTCCAGTGCCTTGATCACACTGCTTTCACATGGTTCCTATGTCAAAAACTAAATTAATAGATAAAGTGCCTCACCTGCTGAGTGTCCACAACTGCTGGAAAATAATTGCCACACCATAGAGAGAAAAGCCTGTTGTTGTATGGAGTGACTGAAGCTGTTGAGTCCTCACTGAATCTACTCGTGTATCACAGCAACACTCTAAACTGTGGATGACCACTGGCACATAATGACTGAGTGGACTGAAACATGAGACATATCTAGAGTTTGGTACCATATTAGAGTAATTGCCCATGACTGCAATAGAAAATTAGAAGCAAAGTGTTCTGGTGAAATAAGGAGTTTCTTTCTTATTATAAAGTATCTGGACTGGATACAACAATCAAAACATTTCTCGAACAGATTGTCCCTCATGCCCGGGACAGTCCTGCTGAAATAATGTTTTTCGTTGATTTTTGTGAGCCATGTTTGCTATTTTCTTTTAAACTGCAACAATGACAAAGGACACTGACCTCCACCCTTTCCCCTCAACCTTTAACCCCCACCCATAGAGAGCACTGCCAGCTTCTCCAGCACCCATACTGATACATAGCAAAGCAAGAGGCCAAGATGAATCAGGATCAACAGAGATGAAACCGTCTTTTAGGCTGGTTTATTGAGCATGGGATTGTACCACAATTCTGGCCCTTTAGAAATTCATGATGCGCCTAAAAGATCCAACCACTGGGGAGCTTGCCCCCCAGTCGCTGAACCTCCTGTACTCTCCGGGCCTCAGGAAGTACTGCCTGCCTCTGTAGTGGGGCTGCTCGTAGAAGATCCAGTAGCCGTCCATGATGTGACACGAGTTGATCTCCCTGTACCGGTAGCGGTCGTGAACAGACTCGCAGTCATCCATGCACTCGGACATCTGGCCTTCAAATCCAGGACGTTCATAAATCCTTATGCGGTAAGGGCCTCCGTGCGTCTGGAAGAACAGGAAAAGTAGATGTAGAGAGACGGACACACAGGAGAGAAATCACTGTGGTCACTAATATTTTCCACACTGGCATTTAGATGACCCTAGTAAAAAGCCATGAAAGCAACTCAGAAACCTGCTATGGGAATATCACACGTTGGTGCCTTTCTTCAGCGCTGGCATGTACTTCACCTAACCATTTCCTGAAGCCTCAATCACTTCGCTTACCCCACAAATGGTGTTTATTACAGGTAGGGGGAGAAGGTCATATCCTAATCCTAAATCATCCTAACTCTAACCCCACTTCCACTCCTCTACATACTGTATATACATCTCCTGGTCTTCTCTTTGCACATAGCCATCATACTCCTTCGGCCATCCCATCTACACCCTTGCAGCAGCTCCCTGGCTCATTCCTCGTGAAAGTGAGGGGAGTTTGGTCAGCCTTGTCCATAAAGTCAGACTGCCGTTCTCTCAGCTACAAGAGCTATGCCAAGTAACCTGCAATATATTCATCTCTCCATTGCCCGCATCAGGATCTGTCTGAACTACTTGTTGGAAGGGCTGAGGTCAGTATTTCATATCGTATTCTTTGTGTAATAAATCCCTATGGATTTTTACGTGATCTGTGTTAAAGTGTCCAATTAGTCAATTTGTTTTGATTTGTATATAAAACTCATACTTCATATCAGATCAGTATTTCATATCATGCTTAAGTAATCCACATGGTAGCTGCCATTGGCTTTGTGGTTAATGCTGCTTACTTTGACTTCAACAAAAAATATTTCTTTTCGTTTTAAGACCAACCAGATGAACAGGAACCCAAGCTGGGTTTTGTAAAATGTAAAAAGTTTGATAAATAAGTTTCAGCCTGTGGCATACAATATCAGAGATCAACCGTGATACCACTGTCGAATAAAATGAACCGTTTAGCTCAACACTTACATAGGTGAAGGTGCGACAGGACCTGATGGAGTCGTTGAAGCCCATCCAGCGCTGGTAGTCGGGATACTCGCCCCTGCGCAGGAAGTACTGGTAGCCCATGTAGTTGGGGCGCTCGTACACCATCCAGCAGCCGCTCTCCACTCGGATGGAGTTGCAGCGGCTGAAGTAGGAGTGCAGGTCAGCGCAGTCGCTGCTGCACTCATAGGAGCGCCCCCCGAAGTTCCTGTCCTCGTAGAAGATGATCTGGAAGGGAAGGAGAAATGTCAGCATGGAATAAAGTGTTGGAAAATGATGAGAATAATAATATACTCTCTATAAACAAAGAAGAACTTTTGCAATTACTACCTTCCCCATGTTGGATGTTCTGAGATCTGTAGTGATGCCTGTTTCAGTGAGTTTGGGACGTTTTATATGTTAGAGGGACAAACATCCCATGGTGAAAGCATTGTTATTGTAATTTATTTCAAAAGGAAAAACTTAAAAGAGTGCCAAATCAGCCCAGCGGAATCGAGCGAGTAGACATTTACCATTGTGTACCTTTCTGCCATACATTAGCCCTAAACAAAACATATAGCTGTGCATCGCAGCACGTGACTGCAGCTTCACACAGAAGAGGGTTAATGTATAGGCATGCCTTCTGAACAGCCAGGGTGTTCTCTCATAGTGAAGAACGGAAAACCCCTTCACTAGCTACAGTATATCCCCTATGGTGGAACGCTGCCTCCCACTTGCTCATCCTCTGCACTGATCGCTGCTTGATTTCACGGTGCCTGTAAACTTTTGGATTGTTTTTTTCAATGAACTAATTGCTGATTGAGGAAAGATTCTTTGGCAGGTAAGTTTAGAGAAATTATAGAAGGAGGACAGCAAAACTGACAATGAAAAGGATAGACTTTGCGATGGTACAGTTGGTGTTCACTGTACCATGTGGTATCTGCAAAGAGTCCCCCGAACATGCAAACGCTGTGCCAGAAGAGGCGAGCTGGTAGAGCAAGCAGGGTTTCCTGCAAACCCCAGCTGAGACCTGCTCCAGACTCAGCACAGGGAGCGTGTTCTGTGTGGACATCCCCAGTAAAACACAAAGAACTCTGAATAAAGGCCAGAGAGGGGTACCTCTGTGCAGAGAGGGCACACGAACTCCTGAAACCCCCAGGAAGTTGCATTTTGCGATATTTGCATATATTGGAAGGACTGAAAACCAGTAATCAGATCCTCCAGACTGGACAAGAATAAAGACTTCTCTTGTTGAAGCATTTGTCAGTAGGTCGATGATGGAAAATGTTTCGAAAATGGAACACCGTATGCTTGTGGGGTAGTCTTAGAAAACTGTTGTGTTCTGAATGTTAGAATACAGGGGTGAATGAAGAAGCAGTTGTCTAGTACCGCAGGGTGTTTTATTCGTGGGGCCAGGACCGTTTATTATGAAAGCACTACAAAAGGAGTCAACGTCTGTGAGAATCCTGTTGCTCAAGCGTGACTATGCTGCTTTTTCCACTCTACCCCTCTGTGAGATGCACTGTTTTGTTTTCATACGAGCGTGATGGGGATTTTTTTTTCCTGTGAGTAGAACAGAGGTGAGTGTCATTGTAAGAGAAATACCCTCAATTATTTTTTTACCCAAGAATAGAAAACGTGTGAATGTCTAATTTGCAATTGTAAACTCATCTAGACCTGGTCAGTACAGGAACAGGAGCACTAGAAGGAAACCAGTTGGGTTTGTTTTTCCCAGATAAATATTTCTACTTCAAGGGCATTTCTGAGGACTAAAGGAAAAATATAGCACCTTCTAGTGCAGTGTCCCCTGACACCACCCTGCTCATTTGATGTGATCAGGACGGCCGTCTTGCCTCTCCGTCTGTGTTGTTTGTGCCAGTGGGGTGGATTTTAGAATTTGGGAGGAAGAGGGGTGACGTCACTCAGGAGCTGAGGGTGGGTTTTCGTTGCAGACGCCCTCCATCAGCAGCCAACAAAGCAAAGGAAAGCTTTGGTTCTCTGTAATACACAGGCTGCACATTTCTCTGCCTTCCTGCGTGGTCTTTTGTTTTGTTTTCAGGGCACAGAGCACATTCGGGGCTTTCCCCTGAAGCAGCACTTATCTGGTGGAGCTGCTTTGAGGAGCCATGACTGCTGTGGAAAGTCAGACAGTTGCTGCAGTTCTGTTGAATGAAGACCCTGATTGATGATTACTCATACCCTAAATGAAGATTATTCCTGTCATTGAGTATGTTATGTGCTGCCATGAAACCCTGTGTTGTTTTTTTCTACTGGCATGTAATTGGTCAATGTGGTCCTGATACCTGGGCTGTTTTTCCACAGCTCTGCTCACTGCGCTAGCAAGGGCTTCACATGATGAACACCCTGCTGCTCGCCACTCCTTTAAATATAGTCTTCACTGGCCTGTCTGGGAGAGATCCTGCAGGTCACAGCCTCCATGTGTTGCAAACGCACAGCTGTTCTGTTATTAAGCCTTTCATCCGGTGCAAACTGGCTGTCTCTCAGAACACGGGCTCATG